GTATGTATTTAAATATGTGGCTTTGAAAAGCTGCAGTTATACTTCACACATGTTCAAAGAGCAGAGAGGAAAGGAAGTGGTGTCCAGGTAACCCATCTTTTCAAATGCTTCCAAGTGCTTTCAAATTGTATGTAAAGTGGGACTTGGAAAAGAAGGAGGAAGCGCTATCTATTTTTAAAGCATCGTACTGGCTTTAGAAGATCCAGGCTGCAACTCCAACTCTGCGGTAGGCTTTCTACCTTACCTTTGGTAGGTTACTAGAACAGAGAGTTGGAAAACGGCCAAACTGTTCTTTCATCAGGAAGGCCGGGTGTGTTGAAACTGGAATAATAACCTACTCATCACAGCAAGATCGCCGTTTCTAGTTTGAATGAGGGTGTGTGTGCTCTTACACATGCCTTATACTCAAAAATCCTGTGGTTGGGTATCTGCTGAGAAGGTCTCAGGTGAAATTCTCTTCTATTTGATCATGGCCAAAGATTTGAACGTATTCTGGAGATAGCACTTGAACGAGGGAAGTCTTAGCTGTTCTGGGCAGGGGTAACATTGATGTCCCTTTCCTCTGTCAAAGGATCTTAGTTTTGCTTTGCTGCAGCATGGGAAGGATTTTGAGATATCAGAGTCCTTTGTAGCAGGAAAAGTAATTTTTATGTTGAGTTTTGTGAATTGCTTAACATCTCAGAGCTTCTACGCCCAATCTGTAAAATGAAAGGAGAAGGATTGTTTTGTTTTGTTTTTCTCAGTCACTGCCTGTGTTTGGACTTTAAGCTCTTTGGGATAGATATTTCTGCATGCAGAGTATGTGTTGTAATATCGTGCTGATTGGTTATTGTCCTGTTATTGTATTATGGAGAATCAACATCAAGACAAATATTTGTCAAATTTTGTACTCTTTCAGAAAAACATTTATAGTGAATTGATGTTCAAATGCTGAAACCATTTCCATCTGCAGCACAAAATAGTGATTCATAATTATGCAGGAATCTCTCAGGATTTGCATTTTAAGCATTACGTTGTATGTTGTGAGCCATGTGAATGTTGCCAGACCTTTGTAAAGGGTGGCTGAAGCGTGGTGCTCGTGGAGCAGAACTGCCGACGCACGACGGAGTGGGTTACTTGTCCTGCGCAGGGAAGGGAAGATGCAGGGACTTGGCCAGGGGTCCCCGGCAGATGCTGCCAGAAAAAGGGATTGGATCCAGAGTCTTTGAACTCCACTCTGTTGCCCTGTTCTTTACTTGGGGAGAAGGTAAGCATGAGGGACCCATGCCAAATCCAGCTAAGCAGTTGTTAGGAGGCAGCAGTTGCAATAGAAGCCATAGGGGCCACTTTGCCCTGGGATTATCCTCCTTGAGCAGTTTCTCTTGGAAAATGTCCTGTGTACAAAACAGATTTAACTCTGAACATGAAGAATTTGCTGTAGGGGCTGTGCTCGATGGTGTTCCCTGTCCTGGAGAACACAGGATAGTTCCCTGTCCCAAGAAAGCAGGGTGAGGGCTGCAGGTATAGCTGCCAAGCAAAATAAATAGTGTGGTATAAGCCGTCATCGCTGTGGGAGTGGGGAGAAATGAAAACTGAAAGTGAGAGAGTGATATAGCAATGCATGTAAGAGAGGTGGAGCAATCAGATGGAAAGGAGATCCAGGGTAAGAGAAATTTAAAGCTAAAATCCCATCTGCACACCGCAGAGAAACACATCTGGTGTTTGGGACATTCAGTAAGTCTCCAGAACTTCTCGGTCCTTTCTTCACTGTCCTGAGCCGCACAGCAAAGAGAAGGGAGGTCACTGCCCTAGGCTTAGGTCTCCACTGTCTGCTACTTATTTCTGTACCCAGGGTTGATTTTGCATGGATCAGATCTTTGCTCTGGTGGCAGCAGCTGCTGCTGTGGGCCATCACCGTGGGCTGTGACCTACTGCTCATGCATTTAAAGCCGTCAGTAGTAGCCATGTTGGCATCACAGGGCCTTCTGCTACATCCAGCATAGCATACACTGCATGAGGTGGGTGAGCCCCGAGAAGAGGAAGGGATTTATTCCGCAAATCTCAGGAAATTGCCTTGATTTAAGCCATTCATCACTCTGAGTTTATGACCTTCTGTGGACATCACCCAGACAGTGATTTTATTTTTTGTATCTTTTCCGGATGTTTCTTCATGTCAGATGGATGGGAAACAGGACTGTTGTGTCCTCGCTCTGCTCAACGAACAGACCTTTCTCAAAAGGCACTCCCTAAACTGGCAAATACTATCTAATCCCCTATTCTAGTTCTAAAGGTTGGAGTAGGATCAGAGAATAGTTTTTCTACCTGGGCCTGTCATTCATAAAACAACAAACAAAACTTGGCTTGCAGTTGGAGATTGTTATCAAAGATGGTGGGATAGGATCTGGAAATGCTCCCTCCCTTGATGCAAACACACACAGTCTATACAAACCCTGTTTTTTCCATCCCCTTCCATTCTTTCCCTTCTTCCTTTTTTTTCTGTTTGCCTCCCTTTTTTATCTCTCTGATTTGGGGAAATGGAGGAATCCCTTGTTTCTAGGTTGTCCTCAGTAACCACATAAGCTTTCCTCAAATGCTGATAGGTACAAGAATCTCTCCATGAAAAAAGACTTTATGTCTTACAGGACAGCTGTCTAACTTTGTACAGGCTTGAAAGTAAATGCAAAGTAACTAGAGTGTCTTACTTCATTAAACAAGTATCAAAAGAACAAATATTATCAGTGGCATCAAAGAAAAGTGAGCATGCATTTCCAGAGTGGAATGCCCTTATCCAAAAAGACACTTGCAACTTTGCTGTGAAGACCTGTTGTTTCTCATGGCTATGTAGATCAGAACAGACTTTGAAACCATCTTATGCATACTAAAACATGCTACTTTCTGTATTTGATTTTTTTTAAAAAACATTTAAAGCTTTCAGAGTTATGAAATGTTATGAGATGCCTAAGCTTCCCCAGTAGGTATTGTAAGTTGATTTTGTGTAAGTGCTCCTCAACAAATAGCCGATGGACGTGTATAATTATAGACCATTGCATAGGGAGGGATTCATAAATGGCTGATCTGTAGCTGGGAATGGTTTTGAGATGTAACCTTGAGACTGACTTGTATGTATGAAAATAATTTTGAAGATTGAGTGACTAGCTATTAGTAAGACAAGATGAAAAATGTTTTTGCCCTGCTGGCTGACCTTCTGCAGATCAAGGCTGGTTTTCCACAGAGAGGTGCTAGCAAGATGGAGAATGGGTTATGCAATTTGTTGTTTTAATTTGCATATTTATTCAAATGCATCTTCCCAGCCACCTCCTAATAGCTGAGCAGTGTCAGATGACAGTGCTTTTGCGGTTGCTGATGTCTGCTAGGGTATCAGGCTGGCGCATTCAGGAAATGGGAAGGGCAAGGCTGGGTTCCTCTCCAGGCAAAAGCAGGCAGTGGGGCTGTAGTAAAAAAGCCTTCTTACCTGACTCAAAACCAGAGTGTTCATGCATATATCTTTAATTTCATGCAGTGGGGCAGAGGGGCTGGGAGGGATGGGCAACAACCCAAGTGTTACCAAGGATCCGGGTCTAGCCTTGGTGAGAGTGAAAATCTTTTGGTGGCTTAAGCTAAATCTCATGAGACTTGCCTGGCACTGATGAGAACTGATTTTGGATACAGCCATAGAGGAGGCATCCCTTCTGCCGCTCTTGCTGGGTACTGATGATGTGCCCATGCACTGAAGCTGGGGGGAACAACTCCTTTTGCAAGTAGTGAAGAGCAGCTCTCACAAGTGGTGGAGGCCCAGGACGGGAATCAGAACTGGCTTCCCCTCTTGTCTGTGCCGTGCACCTCGTGCAAGTTCAAAGTCACTTACAACTTGCACTTTGGTGTTGCTGCCTTAACCACTAACATTAAATGAGATGTGCAGCTTCTTCAGGATAAGTTAAGATTCCTAAGGAACTGGGCTTTAGGTACTTTCATGTTCTTAGAAATTTGGGGGTAGCTGTTATCAATGCACCAGCTGCTGTAATATGGAGTAGAAGCAATCATCTGGTTTCAGATTCACCAGCAGCTTACAAGACCCCATGGGTCTTTACCTGTCCTGATGGATTGCCTTGCAGTTTGAGGTTCGCCGTGAAGATAACCATCTCTTTAATACCAACATGTTATTTATTTGTTTATTTATTTAGTTAGTTTTAAAAACTGTGTTCTTAAATTTAGATTCCCTCAATTATATTAGTAAGCTGTGATATTGCATCATGCCAGCTGGATATTTGAGAAATAATTTGCTCTTACCCAAATTCTGAAATATTCTTGCAGCTCAGCTGGATCGAATTAAATTTTAATTTAAAAAATAATGTGTGATGTGTTTATTTGAGCCAAAACATTGCAAAGCAATGAACTAGTAGATTAAATACAAATTTGGTAAAATAATGCAATATAAATATGCTAGCTATACAGAATATTTTTGAGAACTAAATTTCTGTTAGGCTTCTGTTTGGGTTTTACTTAAAAGCAATGTTTGTTAAACACTTGGGAACCATAAACTTCTGCTGGTATGTGGCCAAGACAAGCCTTCTGGAAAGTATACTCAGACTTAGAAGTAGTAGCAAGTGAAGCAGAAGCAGGCAGGCAGGAGCAAGCAAGAAACTACAGTGTTTCCTTGAAGTTCACTTCTTTCTCCTCCTTTTCCCTTGTAAAAATATAAGCCTTTTATAGAATTAGAGTATTATTATCCTGTACTATAGAGAGAACTTTTGGAATCCTTTCAGTAAATGAATTTAATGATGGAATGGGTCTAGATAAGATATGAGTATTTATGTTCAGTAGTTTCTTCCTGGGGGTAGTGAGTTTTGACGAATTAAATAATGTTTAAGGTTTTTAAGTACTGTCTTATTCTCAGAACATCTTACCATATAAACATGGTTTCTGTCTTGTTTTGTCACTCATGTCCTTGCCAACCAGATTTCAAAAGTGAAACACAAAAGCGAAAGATAATTCAGTGTCTGTCTCTCTCTCTCCCTGTCTAGATTATCAGCGTCTGATGACGGTGGCAGAGGGGATCACGACGCTGCTGTTCCCGTTTCAGTGGCAGCACGTGTATGTCCCCATCCTTCCTGCCTCTCTCCTGCATTTTCTGGATGCTCCTGTTCCCTACTTGATGGGGCTGCAGTCCAAAGAGGGAACCGACCGCTCCAAGCTGGAGCTGCCTCAGGAGGTCAGCCTCTGCCTTCAGGGTTGCCATCCTGAAATGTGTTATTAATATTTGTGTGAATCCCTGCTAGAAAATGCCATGCCTGGTGTTAGGAGGCTTCTCTGGCATGGTGAAGACTGTTTGCCAGCAGGAGTGAGATAGTAGGGGAAGCCTCTGCAGTCCTTCTCGGTCCCTTTCTGAATTTAAATGAGTACTACTTAATTGTATTGACTTCTAAATGCTTCTCCTTCTGCTTCTTGCTGTGACACTGAAAGTTCCCTACATGACACGCTTCACTGGGTTTTGTTACCCTTTGTCAGTGTCACAGTCCTGTTGACAGAGGGCTAAAGAGCGTTTCATTCAGGGATGGTCTTTATGAATCTGGATCTTGTGTGCAGTTGCTAGATGGTGTAAACCTGTCCCTGTCCCCCTGCTGCTGCTGCTAAGTGTGCTCCGTCCTGCCAGCCTTGTCCCACCCTCAAGTGAGCCCACGTGTTCCTGGCTGGGTTGAGGTCTATTACTGGACCAGCGTCCTGGCCTCCAATCAGCCAGATTTGCATTAATACTGTGCCTGTGAACCACTTAGAGGCATACATGCATATGTACTTTCAAAATATTGACTCCAATGATGGTCTTTTGAAGATCTTCTGTCCTGCTATGCAATGTGAAGTGAAAAATTTGCCTGGTCTATCACTTTTTTCCATGAAGGAAAAAAAGGAAGGAAAGGTTGTCTCCGTAATCTAGGTGTTGAAATCACTGGTGGTAGAGAGTGAAGTGGAGATTTTTCTCCTCAAAATTTGACCAAGATGATTAAAACTGCTTCGCATTTTAACCTGGCCACTGATCAGTCTTCATACTGCAAAGTCTTTGGGATACGGCTAGCCTGTCTGTTTGAGATGGTGACTGGACCCATCTCTTGAGCTTGCCATGCATTTTAACTTGGCTTTCTTTTTAAAATCAGCGGGAACCCTAAGAATAACTGTTTGTGTGGCTGTAATGTCTCATGACAGTGTCAGCACTGTGCTCGGCTCCATGTGGGACCTCTCCTAGGGGCAGAGTCCCTAAGGCTTCCAAATAGGTGCCCTCGCTGAGAAGGCAGGTAGGAGCAGCAGCAGAGGAGAATATGCAGGAGGAGGATTTTGTAAGTGGAAGTGGAGGGATAAACACAGGGCAAGGATAATACATTTTTTAACAAACATCTGTTTTCAGTATTAGGTGGAGGTGACTGATTCTTAGCCTCGGTGGCATGTAACAGTGCAAATCAAGTCTTACCTCGTGGATGCAATGACCCAGTCGCATGAAATTTGCTTTGGTGTGGAAATGAAGCTGGTATCTAGCTACACTTTTCAGTAAAACCATGCTAATATTACATAATTACTGCGATTTTTAAAATGATTAGTCATATGCTTTTGGTTAGCAGATTAAGCTGTCATTTTCCTTAAACTAAAATTTCAATGTGATGGCTTGCAGTATCACTGGAATAACAAATTAAATATTGCCAGTGAGGGAAGAGTAATAGTGGGGTGGAAACTGCCACCCCCATTACAATGTTTAACAAATGAGTGAAAAAATCAGCAATTATGAACACCACAGGTCCGGTAACTGTGGGAGAGGGAAAGAAAGAAAGGATATTGAACAGGGAAGATCTTGAATCTCAAATTCCTCTAGACAATAAAAAATAGAAAATCCTTCAACATGTGAGCAGTGATGAAGCGCTGTTCACTTTAGCATTCCTTTATTGTTCAGGCCAGGGACTAGCTTTTCAAGCACTTGCTCTAAATATAAACCATTTGTTTGTTAGAGATAAAAATTCTAACAACTGGCCATCATGCTGTCTTAAGGTTACTAATCTCTCTGCATTAAATTTAATCATCAGATGTTTTTGAAGAGAGAAGTGAGACTGATTGCCCAAGGGTTTTCTGAATCCAAATCTCATTTTTCGAATTTTGTAAATGATATGCACAGCTGAAATTAAAAAGCCTTTGAAATGAAATATTGATAGATAAGAAGACAGACCCTGAGCTAAAGAACCGTACTGATACATACCACAACCCTTTAATAGCTGTATAGTTAAGTAAAGCAAATTATTTTGTATGAAGAATGCTTTCCTTTGTACAATCCAAATTTATTATGAAAAACTGAGCTGAAGGGACACTTCTGCTTTACCAAATGAATCCTAATACCTTTTAAAGTATCTACGTGAAAGGTGATTAGTGTAAAACATGTCCCTGAAATATCCAATCTATTATAACCATGTTTGCTGTGGATTTTTTCTGCTGAAAATTAACCTTTTCAGAAAAGGAGGAAAATAAGTCCTTTCTGTTCACATAATCTGAAGATTAGTCCACAGTGTTTGGTGAGAAGTACGAACAGTAAAAGTGCCTTGGAGAAGGCGGAGGAGCTGTGCTAATGGCCAAGTCAGGCTAACAAAGACCTGCTGCTGCTGCCCTGTGGGTTTCTGCATCTCCTGTTCTGCAGCTTTTTGCCAGGGTAAAACCAGTCAGAGCTCAGCACCTTGGGAATCTGACCTGGTTTAAGATTTTATTCAGTACAGTGCACTCAGACAGTGAATTTCAGATGTAAGCCGCAGTTCAGGAGATCGATTACGGTTTTTCATTCTGCTATTATTCCTGAGGGTGCATTTGCAATGTAATTAATTTTTATGTACGGTTCTTCCATCCCCCCATTGACACTGTCCTAGTAAAAGTATCTGCTCTGCTAGATTCATGTCTTCATTTAGCTTTAATCTTATGGGCTGAGGACCATGTCCATTCATAGCAAAGCTGTCTAAGAGCACTCTGTTTAAATCTCAGGCAAGGAGTTGCCAAGATTAAAAGCCTCCATGGAAACAGGGGGTAGGGGGGAGTGGGGAAATAGGGCTTGACCTCCGGTGGACAACCTATACTCAGACATGATCCCAAAGGATTTGCATGGGACCCTCTTTTGTAGCTTTGCTCATAGCACTGTCATCTTTCTCACTACAGAGGCTTCTTGCAGTCGGATTCTGGTAAAATAAACGTGCCCTTGAGGTGCAGTAATTCACACAAAGAGTATTTACGTGGGTTGAGAAATGGTGCTGCACATCCTGCTTACTGATGTGTCCTTGGCTGGTTTGGGAGGGGATATCAAATCTTTGCAGTGGGAAATTTGGGATCTGCAAGCCCTGGGGGAACAGAAGAGGACAGGAGGCTTTATTTATTTATTTATTAAATCATTGCCATCCAGTTGGCCCTCAGCTATACTGAAATCTGAAATGTCACAGGCTGAACAACACAGCTAAAGTCTCCTGCCTATGTGTGCTCTTACCCTTCTATCTGGAAGGACCCTGGGAAAATAGGACTACTTAGCATAGGAGCCAGTTCAGTGCTAGGGGTCCGTTTTGAAACTTTTCTTTGTATTTCAGGCAAACTTGTGCTTTGTAGACATCGATAACCATTTCATCGAACTGCCAGAGGAATTCCCCCAGTTCCCCAACAAGCTGGAGTTTATCCAGGAAATCTCCGAGGTTCTCCTGCAGTTTGGGATCCCGCCGGAGGGTAACCTGCACTGCAGTGACAGTGCCACCAAACTAAAGAACCTGGTTCTTAGCGATTTGGTGAATGACAAGAAGAATGGGAACATCCCCGGCAACGCCCTCAGCATGTACGAACTGCTGAAAGGCAACGAGACGATCGCCCGCCTGCAAGCCCTCGCCAAAAGAACGGGCGTGACGATGGAAAAAATGACCATCACGGCTCCCCTCGTGGAGAAGGAGAAGGATGGGAAATTGCCATGTGAGGAGGTGGAGCTGAGGGACTACAAACTGAACGTGCAGCTTCGCGAGGTTTTCGCCAACCGCTTCACACAGATGTTTGCAGACTATGAGGCTTTCGTCATTCAAGCTGCCCCCGATATGGAGTCGTGGCTGACAAACAGGGAACAAATGCAAAACTTTGACAAAGTAAAGATAGCCATGTATTCATTTTTCCATCTGAAAGTGCTTTTGGGAGGGAGGGAGAATAGCTGTATTATGTATATATAGCCTCGGTACTCTTTAATCCGCCGTTCTTCATCTGCCTCACCAAGAGATCTGTCTGTTTTGATTACACAGGGCCAAACCGCCTGCCAAAGTAAATCGGTTCAGATCTGCTGAGCTGGTCAGAGCCATCCTGGCTTGTACAAACCAAGCTGGCAAGCTTCTGCCCAGCTGATGGGGCTTCTCCTGTGGGTTTGGTGGAAGGGTAGCAATGGAAAGTTGACTTTTTTTTTTCTTTCTTTTATGTTTGCTGAGAGGAGAGGTGCACACACGAGACAAAACCGAAATCCAGTCTTTCTTATTTCTTAATCTCACAGTAGAGCTTTTTGTTAATGGGTAGTCTTGTTCTGTAGAAGGTTATCACACTGTTATGGCAGAAGAGTACTGTTATGAATCCATTGTAGTGTGTACACAAGAGTGAAAAGGAAGCCAAGATTAGAAATGGAGAAATAAGGAGACTGTAGGCTAGCAAAAGGAATGGGAAACGTTGGGAAAGTTGCACAGTTACTCTTTCCAAGTGACTCTGCAAAGTAAAGAGTGCTCTTAGCCATCAGCTTTTTCAGATACAAGTCCTTCTCTAATGAGAATGGCGGAAGGGTTAACAGTCAGGAACAGACTAAATATTGATCTGAGTCAGTTTTTGGTCAAAAAAATGCTGCCATGCCTTTTATTGGTCTTGTTTTGTATTCAGATGTTGAACAGTGCAGTATTCAAAAGGATAGGGTTGTTTAGGCAATCTCTGCTAGTACTTCTACAATAAAATGGGCCGTTAAGGTTAGGGTTTTCAAAGCTCAGTTACTTAGACACAGACATGACTTCAGTAACTCCATATTCCCTTTACTCTAGCTGTCACAAAGCCTCCCCAGCTGCTTGTTTCTCACACTTGTGACCAAAGAGGTGACCCACGAACCAGACCCCTTTGTAAATGGATTCACACCTCTGAGAGGTGTGTTTGTGGTGGGGAAGCCTTGTCCAAGCCTTCTCGTTGGCTGCTGGATCGGTTCTCTGCCGCAGGACGGCTCATCGTGTCAATGCCAGGCGGGAACGTGGCACTAATGAGCTGTTCTGTATTTCAGGCTTCCTTCCTTTCGGACCAACCCGAGCCTTACCTCCCATTCCTTTCACACTTCATCGAAACACAGATGTTTGCAACCTTCATAGATAATAAGATAATCTCCCAGTGGGAAGAGAAGGATCCTTTTCTGCGAGTTTTTGACTCCCGAATTGAGAAAATAAGGCTATATAATGTAAGGGCCCCTGCACTGCGGACATCCAACTATCAGAAATGCAGCACTTTGAAAGAAGCAGGTACGTTCAGATGGGCTGGTGAAATATTCAAAGGTACAATGTCAGCCACAAAGAAAAATGGGTCCTCAGTCATCTGGGGATCACAGCTGATGAGGAAGCCCTAGAGAGCTACCTGAGGAGGACTCAGCAGTGTCCTTATGTTCCCTCGGCAAAAACTTCAGCATGCTTTTAAACACCAAAACCAGCAAGAGCCTTTACCTTCCCTTTGAGCTCTCCTGGACTGGTGCCTTTGATAAACACAAACCAAACCATGGAGCTGGGCTCGCTGTTTCTCCTTTTGGGCGGCTCCTGTTCCATTACCAGGAGAGCTTTCCTTCACCGTGGTGGAGGGACCAGTGCCAGCCATACCCAGGAGCCGAGCCCTGGTGTCTGCTCCACTGGCCTCATCTCCCCCTTCCCCTAAAAAGACCTTTTTTTACCTTATGCCATTTGGTTAGAGCAGCGGGGGATACTGAGGACATAATCCTGTGTGGCATATTTAGTAGCTCCAGCAATAGATGTTAATGAGCGATGCACAGTGTACTGAAGACTTTGATTTTTTTTTTTTTTCCATTACAGTCACAGGATGCATTTTCAAATTATACTTGAGTTTCATACTGTGCAAGTATTTATTTCATTTCCAAGTAATACAGGGAAATTATACTCTCAAATTTGTTGGGACACATATTAATGAACTGGGGCAAACACATTTCTCATGGGTTTTTTTGTTTGTTTAATTCCTTCAGACTGTTCTACTTGTTACAAATGTGGCAGAAATAGAAATTCTGTGTCTGCTTAACTTTTTCTGTCCAAAAACAATTCTAATTTGCAGGTCGACTGTCTGTTCAGCGTCTAGTTTTGGTAGATATTGTGGCACCGGAACCTCATATTCTGCCTTGTGAAAAGCAGCAAACTGATAGTAATACCAACTTTCCTTCATATTTACCATTCACAGTATATATGACACTAGCACTCATCCAGCACCTTTTTGTTTAACCTACTATTTTTGGAACTCTTCAAACTCTGACCCCACACTACCCAGTCCTTTTCTCCAAAATAAAACCATACAAAGCAAATTTTTTTTTTAAGGGAAAAAAAAAGCTGCTGAGTTTCTAATGATAATGTATGTAAATCTTATGACAGTTGCTTTCCGATCACAGTTTTATAAAATAGGAAACGAGTTCTGTATTGTTCTTGACAAATGGAAAATGGATTTAGCTTCCACATTTTGCATATTTATTCACAACTCATGATATGCTGAGAAGAATGGGCCTGCCCATTAATGGATGGGCTATAAAGAGTTGAATATTAAAGTTGCTAATTAAATGCTGATTTCCCCCGTACACGTCGTTCCCTTCTCCTTCACAGTGCATCTGACTCAATGTTGAGAGGGTGACAGGTTTTACTTTCATCCTGCTTGAGATTTGAGATGAAATCCTCACGTTCTTGAAACGACTGAACTGCATTAGTCTCAGCAGAGCCAAGATTTCTGGGGAGCCCTCTCCAGTCTTGCTGTAGCCTCCCCTCTTTCCAAGCATCTGTTCATCTCCTTGATGCTGCTCAGGCCTTGCTACAGTTAGCTATGTTTTTTGAAGGCCTGTCATCCAGTAATGACATATCTAATTTCAGGAGGAGGATCATTACAGGTGCCAGATGTTTGCAAAACTTGGGTATCACCCCTCCCCATGCATCTGCCCAGGGAGACATGTCTGGGGCAAAGCAAGGTGCCTGACCCCGCAGAGAGTTGCAGCCGGCCTCAGAGGTCTCCATTCTGCTGAAGGAGCATTAAAACCAAACACCGAATTGCAGGGAAAGATTGCACTGCTCTTGTGCCAATTCATAACACATCTCGTAAGCTCCTGTAAATACCTGCTTACTTAACAGCTAACTTGCTTGTGCCAGTGGCAGTTGTGTTGGGTGAAGAAGCTAAAAGCAAAATAACAAAGTAACAGCACGGATGTTTCCTCACTTCTGTAAGTGACAGATTTCTACGTCTAAAGTCACTTTTTAGAGTGTTTTCAGGGATCAGAGCATGACCACTTCTGTTGTCGTAGCGTGTGTCTTCAGGTGGTTCACTAACACGGTTGTTCACTTGTGACCATAACTTGCAGCCCAATCCATCGAGCAGCGGCTGATGAAGATTGATCACACAGCTATCCACCCACACTTACTTGATATGAAGATCGGCCAAGGGAAATACGAACAAGGGTTCTTCCCGAAGTTGCAATCGGATGTCTTGGCAACGGGACCGACCAATAACAAGTAAGCACAGGTTTTATTTTTTGGATTTGAAAGCAGGTTGCTCATGTAAAAGATTCATATCATCAGACAGAAGTCCTAATTTTGGATGGCTTCTGACCAGTCTAATGAACCCTAAAACTCTTTCTGATTTGTATGGGCTGCAATTTTTTGAAGTTATAGCCATGATTTGAGTTATGTTAGAAAGTGTTAGCTCTGGTTTTGAGAAGATTCCTCAGTACTGTTTTCTGTTGAGTGGTTAAGTACTGTGTCTTCCTATACATATTTTTAGTTTTATTATTGTCATAATAAATTTAAAATTCATTTCTTCACTGTATTGCACTGAATAGGATAATTTGGAAACCCAAGCCAAAATTCAGATATTGAAAGAAATTTTGGTATTGAAACCCCCACACCATTGTGCAGAGTGAAATTAATGCCCACTCTGTTCCTGTCTTTTCTTTAGCTGTTATGTGACCCAAAGATTTTTATAGTTCTCTTTCAGTTTCCACATTGGAATAACCTGGAAGAATAACTTGGTGAGGGTGGAAAGTATGTGGCTCTGTACCTGGGTTTCTCTTCTGAGTCTGATAAGGTTCTGTAGTGCACTTCGATGTAAAGGAAGGGGTACCTATAGCTGTGGAATTGAGCATGTCATTACATAGTTAGTTTACCTAATGTGAAATGAAAAGCTGGAGTACTGATACACTTTACATTTATACAGTTATAATATAAAGTAAGTTCTGCAAGTTACTTTTTTTTTTTCCTTCTTCCCTCAAAACTCAGGAATGAGGGGGGTTTCTCCCCTTTCAAAAATGGAAGATTTGTGCATCAGTGATTACTACTTCATTAAATTATTAGCTCAAGCCCTCACTTCCAGTTTCTGCGGTAGGTCAAAACGTGGGAGCACAGATAAATGTGAGAGCTCCAAAAGCTATGATTGTCCAAATGTTAAATCTAGCTCTTGTTTTAGAGATGTGCATGTACACATGCTGCTCTGAGCTCCTCTATGAGGTGCCTACTCAATTCTATTTATACACCTTTTGTGCACCCCAGAGCTAGCTAATCCCTTTTTAATAACCTACTAGGAATAAGACTTGCAAATGGTAAAATAAGATATCCTTAAACATTGAATGTTTAAAGAATTGCAGTTCTTTAAAAGAAAGAAAAAACCCCAACAACCAAAGGAGGAACGTGTATTTCAGAGTTCCTTTGTGTGCAGTCTTCTTGCAAACCGAGAGAGAAGTTTATGGGTAATGCTCCCTTGAAGAATGGAGTATTTCTTCATCTTGTGGGATGCTGTGTTTAGCAGTCTGCCTCTTATCCTTATGGTGCATTTCAGTTTTAGGGTGTCAGCAACAGTGTGAGTGTGCCCAGCCTGCTTGAAGTTGTTTATGTCTTCTGGCTCTATTGCAGAATCTTAGTGAATCTATGAATAAGCATCAAACAAAAAATAGTTTTCCTTATGCCTTTTGAGATGCTTCTGTTAAATTGGTACATATTCTAAAATGTGACTTTCACTCCTTGAGTGATAATTTTGATTTAGATGGCTGGTTTTGGTCTTCAAATTGCAGCGTGTTTCAGAATTTGTAAGTACCAAAATCCCATTACTTTACCACAAAGCAGTGTCAAAGTGACAAATGTTTGGAATTCCTCCAGTTATATATTGCCAAAAAGGTTTGTAATTGGAAAATCTCAAGACCATCTGTTTGTATCTTTCTGCTTCCTGGCTTTTTATGTGAGAAGCTGAGAGGACTCTCTTTGTCTTTCATTTAAGATGTGTAATTCTGCTAAATTTACACCCACATATAAAACAGATAGCCTTTTCATGCTTTCTGCAAATAGAGCATAATTCTTTTGACCACAAAATCAGTTGAAGTATAGCATTCCAATAATTTGAATTTCCCACTGTATGCTTCTTGGAGATATGTTATACTTGCATATGGGACTGGGCCTTTGGGGATGGGGGAAGAGAACATTTCAGCTACATTCTCAGGCACTTTGGATGTAGCTATTGTGTGTGTTCATAAAGTTAATGCAAAGGATATTGCTATGTAGTTGAGAATTATTTTTGCAGACTTCAGTTCTACAGAGCAAATTTTGTCCTGACTATTGTAAGGAAGTGTATTTGCAGCAGGAAAAAAAGAAAAAAAGAAGAATCATTCCCATGTTACAGTCAATTGTTGCTGGACAGTAGCAAATAAACCAATTCAAAGCTGGTTTAATGAAAACCTGTCCTCACTGGCCAGCAATTCGATTTTTATTGCTTCCCTTTCTGGGCAGATAAACTGACAAATATACAACTCGAGCTCATAATGTTATCTAGCTATTCCCTTCCTGTAACCAGGCAGAGCACTGAAGATACCTCTGTCAGTTACTGGGCTGTTATAGGTATAATATAGTTTGTCTAAATCAGAAATGTAATGCAAAGAGCAAACACTTTTAATTTTAGTTCTAGATCCTATACATGACCCCAGAAAACCACGTTGCCCGGGCAGGCAGAAATCGTGTTTGGGAGAGGAGGTGTCTGTCTTGCTGGCTGGGCATGGAGAGCAGGGCTTGGGGACAGAGGGAGGGTTGGTGGTCATGTTGGATCACTTCCACCTAAACACAGCTGGAAACAAATGTTGACCACATTACCATGTGTAAGTGTTAAAACACCAAAGTCTGTCATACAAGTGAAGTATAATAGTGTTTCATCTGTCAGCCCGTGGCCATGCTCAGCAGCATGCTTTGCCCCACTTGTGCCACGCTGCTGCCTCCTCCCACTTCCCCAGAGGATGTCCCCGAAAAGACTGGACAACGGGTTGAACCTGTGCTCCTCTGGCCCCAGCCAGCATGACACTGCTTGCTGCTTTCTCTCACCTGCTTGGTCATTTGTGGGTCAGGAGAGCAACTCCTCTTACATTTGCTCCTGTTCTTCCCAGCAGTCAGATTGCAGGTGCATGCTTGGTGTCATTAGGGCTGGTCTTCATCTCCTACCCCTGTGGTGGTCAGGAAATGTTGACTTGCTCAGCTAAGCAAGAACTTCACTGACAGTAACTCCAAACTTCAATTTACTGAAAAGAAATGAAAAGGTTAAAAACAAGCAAATAAAAAACAATAACCAAAGACTAAAAAACTTAAACAAACAAACAAAAAAAACCCCACCCCAAACTCCAACCTGCATAAAATTGGAGAATAGGCTCCCAGGTATACAGTTACCCTAATCATCTTTTTGATCAAAACCACCAGAACATGGAAAGACATTAATTGCAGAAATGCAGATCTAAACTTAAGCAAAATATGATAACTACTGTATCCAAATTATTTCTATAAATTAAAAGAAATACTATTTTTCTGTAACGAAAAGAGCAATTCATCCTGGCTAACAGCAATTTAAAAAACAAAACAAAACAAAAAACCACCCGGTTCTGTCCTCTTTGCCATCAGGCAGCAATGTCCTACTTGAGGGACTCCCTCTGCACTCATTGCCTTCGATACATCCCCCATGTCATGGGAAGACCTTCTGAACCTACAGAGAGCAGCTGCAGCTTTCCCTGCGTACAAAAGCAACCCATCCTCACTGCTGTAACCTTGTAAAGCAGCAGCTTCTGCAGAAGTCCTCCTCGAAAGTGTCCCAGGAGAAAACAGGCTCCAGTCCCTTAGGCAGTTTGTCCATTATTCTGGAAAAGAGCTGCAGTTTCCAGAGTCGTCCTTTCCTTTTTCAAACCCCAGCACCACACTGAGGTTTCTACATGTTCTCTTCTTCCTTCCCCGCATGCATTTTCTGCCAGGCTTTTAAAACTGTAGCTGGGACTCCACTGGCTGATGCATTTGCAATGATCCAGGAGAGGAATTTGAATGACAAAAATGCCAAGCTACATAAACACTTCATGGTTTTTGATTAGCTAATTGTTAAATTAGGGTGAATATGCTTACAGTGCAAAATTAAAACAATGAAACAAGCTGTGTTTTCAATCTAATTGATTACCTTGTAACTTAATTTGTACTAAGAAGCTTGATAAATGAGATTAAATATCGCAGAGGAAAACATTGATTGCACACCAAGCATGGGAACATATTTGCATTCTGGCAATTTGTAGTGAATGCTTGCAAAGAACAACTGAACTGATTTTTTTTTTTCCTTTGTTTCTCGTGGCTTTCAAAGGAAGATTTTGCTTTGTTACACGTTTAGAAAATGGCTTAAATTACCTTTTTTTTTTCCTTTCTCTTTGTTTAGCTCTGTTTTTCCCACCTTCTTTATCTGAGCCCCACTTTCTTCCTTGCTTCCTTCCCTGACCAGCCTGTTTCCTCTTTCCTGCCCTGGCCACTTCTTTCTCCTGAGCCCTCTCACTTGCATCCCGGCTTCCTGTGAGCTTCGTGCTTTTGTCTGTCCTCTGTGTCCTACCTGACCTGCAGCGATCCTCAAAGGAGGCCGCAGTCCAAGTCTTCGACCACAGATCCTGCTATACTTGGCCTCCTAACCTCAGGCTTTAGCTAAGTCATGTGTTGCTCTTACCCATGATGCAGATTTCAAAAGTATTTTCTTGCTTTCTCCAGGCATTTGTTCCTGTGCTGTGTTTTGCTGATCTCACCACCGTGTCAGTATTTATTTGTAAAAATCATGCATTAGGAGCGTACAAAATTGGTTCATTTTTGTGCTCCAGTTCATGGCACGACTTGTGTGGGCACTGTTCTGTGGCCTCTGTCACCACCACCACCCCCCCCCCCCCCCACCTGACCTGCCCAGGGTTTATCTGCCTGGTGCTCTGGTTCTAATTTTTAAATAGGACTACTGTTTGCTTATTCACTAGCATTTAACATTGGTTAATGTTTTTTAAGTGGTTGCTGAATCTCTATATAATGATAGAATTCATTCTGGTCTTAACTAAATTATTTTTTGTATGGGAAATAGTCTGTCTCTGGTGCTGAGCGCTTCATATTATATGGGCCTTTTCTACCTCCCTATCTGTTGAGTACTGTTTTAAGGCTGGCTGTCTTCAATGGAGCTTTTTTCTTTCTTTTGATTGAGCCAAACAATT